CCTTGTCAGCTAACCAATCCTCGACATCTATGCAGATCTACTGGCCAAACGCTCATGCTTGCCTTCCCATCTGCTGCTCTAATATGAGAAGGAAAGATAGTTTTATATAATCTGTGAGAGTTGTGTTCCCAGGTGTAAGATAATGGGGAAGAATTCTTTCACTGTTCCCAGACACAAGAAGTATTCAGTTTCCAGGAATCCCTTTGAGACTTCTTTCTTCAGAGTCACTTGGTTATTGTTCAAAGTTGGATGGTTTGGTCTCTGGGGGTTTCACAGGGTACAGATTTTAGTCAAAATGTGGTAACTTTCTAGCACTTCTGAAAAAATAAATGTCTGGTTGCCAAAAAGTGTGACACACATAGTCATGTTTGCAGCAGATGTCAGTACATCTGACAGTGGTAATAGTGTCACTGTGACTGCAGAGGAAAGGCCTTAGGAGGTAAGCAAAACAGTGGTTTAGTTCTGTGGGTTTGATGGGAAATAGGCTAGGAGTTGAGACCAAAAAGTTCCCAAGATAAACTCTACTAAGCCATTTGTTCATATTTGTGTAGTTTTGCAACTACGCTTGCACACTATTTCTGTTTTGATAGCCCACAACATTGATGTGGCATAATGTAGCAAGCAAAATAAGCTGACATAACCCTGTGTCTGAAATCCCAGCAGTTAGGAAACAGTATGTTTTCACAACCTCTTCTAGGCTGAACTGGGTCACTGACACAGGTCATGTGCGAGATCTCATTTCTTGTGTGCCAAGAAAATAACATGTTTATAAACTAGCTGTCAGTCCTCACCCCGAACACATTTGAGCTGGATCAGGTACTGTGGAGCTCTAAATGTTTGATTTTACTATTTCAAGAGTTATTCCAAAAGTTACTGAAAACTTTGATGTTCTGAAGGCATTTTTTTCCCTATTACTGAGTGGGGAAAATTACAGTTTCATTTTGCAATGCAGTAGCCTCTCAACTCTTAAAGTTGAGCCTTTTTAAGTCCCTTCCAAGGGATTCCCAAATCTACTGGAGAACTTTAGACCTTTGAGGTTGTCCTGGTTTTTGCTAGGATAGGGTTAATTTTCTTCTTAGTAGCTAGATTCCAGCTTGGAATTTCTTGTGACTTCTAAATCCTAATTCTTCACAGACTCAGGAAGACCTAGATAAGGAAACTGGCAAGAAACAGAACTCAGAGATCTGTTTGATAAACTGAGTTCCCTAGGAAGTTTACTGAATCTGACATCTGTTAAGAATATTTCTTTTCATTCATCCACATTTCCTATTAGAGTCTTCAATAATATTTTCAAGTCTATTTTCATAACTTCAAAATCTGTAAATACAATTTCACTAATGAGGAAACAGCTGAAAACTCTTTTAGGGACTGAATATTTAATGATAATTTTGAAATTAGCCATCTTAATAGGTATTTTAACATTCTTGTCCATTTTTGGAAGATCTAATTGTGTGCTACGATTTTTGTGTTGATGGTAACTGTGTAACAAAGGTTGTCCATTTTTCAAGGATTTAAATGCTATGAGTTAGAAGATTTTAGCACTCAAAATTGTTTCTTTCTTGTAGGTTTAATAGTTTTAAGTGGCTCAAATGGAATAAAATTAGTAAACTTTCATTGACGTCAGAGTTTATGAGGATATATCTAAACTGTGCATTTCATTTAAAGATTCTATATGGCAAATTTGATATGTTAAAATTAGATACCTACAGAGCAGGTAGGTAGTAGTTATACCAATTTCCTTTTTACCATGTCATAAATCCTGATTTTTGGAGATTCTTTCAATTAAAACTGGAAACTTAATCTTAGTAATAGGAAGCTGTGTAATGATCATGTAAACTCTTGTCCTCATACTTTTTTTTTTTCCTCCTGTTTCCTGAGCCACCGCAAAGAGCACTGATAAATACTTCTACATACACATATTAAGAAATGTCAATGTTCTGATTAGCTCTGGAAGAGTGAATGAAAAATTTCAGGTCAGTTCTGAACGCTATTGCAAGCACACAAGCTCTGTAAAGCTTTCAAAATCCTCTAAGGTAAAATAATTGCTTAAAAAAGCAAAACAGATATTAAACCATATATTGATAAGGGAACAGTATCACAAACTAGATCATCAGTCAGAATTTCCTTATAGACACTGACAGTGTAAAACTTTGCTAGTACTGGTCTTCACGATATATATGGCAAGTTTTACAGAACATTCCCTGACCTACTGTTTCTTTTCACCCTAACTTTCTAGTTGTATACTTCTTAGCTCTTGAAAACTCTAATGCAAGAACAGTGGGATCAAAGAAAGTAAGATAAAATTGTGACCTTTCAACTGTACTGCATGGGTTTAAGTGCCCATGGAGTGTAATCTGTCAGGGGAATGGTGCCCTCTGCAGGGCTGGCTTGCTTAGTTCACCCTACACTGTGCTCTGAGATGTCCTTATGAGCTATGGTCACTGTTAGAAATGCATGGAAGAGAGCACAAGGAACCCTCTTTCTGCTTTTTTCATGCAGTATTAGCTACTGCATCTTTGGGAGCTACTAGGATTTTCTCAATGTATTTGTTGTTCAGAATTGCTTGGTAAATTGCTGGAGGTAACTTAGAAATCAAAAAACACTCCTGATATTAAGCCACTATCCATAGCTATTTAGAGATTTATGATGAGGAGTTAAAGTTTATAATATGAACTGTTTTGGTTGAAAATTGAAACCACACATTTGGTTTTATTGAATGGAATTTGTGTTCCAATGCAGATGATGATTTTATTTTTACATCTGTTTAGTGTGGTCAGAGCTTTACAGCCAGATGTTATGCAGTGCCTCTCTAGCAGAAGATGCAGCAATCTCATTTTGATGTTATGCTGTGCAGTGAAGCAAACTAACTTATAATAACAGTTATTCTACTTCTCCTTTGTATTACAGGTGTTTCTTTGCCACCACTGAAACTAGGGCATTCAGTCTGTGCCATGAAAGCAGATGAAGGTCCATGCAAAGCAATCCACATGCGCTATTACTTCAATATTCAAAGCCGTGAATGTGAAATATTTGAATATGGTGGATGCCATGGCAATGAGAACAACTTTCTAACACTGGAAGAATGTCAGAAGAAGTGTGTGGTAACAGGCCAGTACCCAGTCTCTTACCCTCCTCTCATTTCTTCATTTGTCATTTTTCATCCACAAACCACATGAATTTTTGAAGTAGAGGCCCTCTTCAGTTCCTGTTAATACAGTAGTGTGATGCCTCCAATTATGTTTCAAAGTATTATACTATGTTGTAGTCACCTGAATTAATTCACATTGTGCAAGCAAACATTCAGGATTTGGAAAGATAAGAGTTATTTTTTTAGTTGACCTGTGGAACAGAGAAACCAATGCAAGAAAGCTTATTTTCTACCTAGAGCCCTATTTTGAATGAGTTCTTAAAGTGGAATTGATTTTGAGGCTGAGCTAAGTTGGTGGGCAGCACAGATGTTCTTTATTGCTTTTAGAGTATCTAACCCCATTTTTGATCCTAGATTTCTCCTTCACTTGAGAAGCTGATGGAAGCTGTCCAAAATCTTGGACATCTGCTGTGATTCAAGAGAGTTAGAACTACAGTAGTAAATAATTCTCATTAAAAATGTCAGTTATAGCTGCTTGTCATAAAAGATCTATTTTGTTGAAACCTCATCAATTAATCACTAGAAAGAGGAAAATGAGATCCAAAATATGATACACAGCAGAATGTGCAGAAAGTACCTTGTGAATGCTGATTTTGCTATTAAAAGGGATCCCTGTAATTAACTAAGGCTTTCAGCCTTGTGAAAGCAACCAACTCCTGTTCCTCACAGGAGTATATGAAAGTTAGAAGATTCTTAAAATTCGAAGTTAGTGCCAGTGGAGCTAGAAATTTGAGAAGTTCATATTTTTAGTGACCTAAAGGAATTCATGTCTTATTCTTTATTCCTCTGCATCCCTAATATGGATCTTGCTTTCATGGGAATTAGATGGAATGTGTCTGTCTGTGTAAAGAGGAAGTGATAATGAGGGAGGTACTGGGGGGGCAATAGGAATAGCAAAAAAAATCCAGAACAGAGAGCTTCTCAGAGGTGTGTGATAATGCTCAGATAGTGCACTGACAACATGGGGTTTTTCCCCAAGTGAATTCATATATTGAATGTTAATTTATTTAGTCTGTGAGGTAGGATAGAAGGATTCATTCTCAGCAGAAGGTATTTTTCAGTTATATTTGCCTTGCCCAACAGCAAAATATGTCATTGTTACTGAGCTCGAGACAGTGATGCCAGGCAATCCTGCAGTAGAGAACAGTTTGCAGGTTATTCTGAGGATGAGTACCACAATCTGATGAAAATTGTTAATGTCTCCTGCCTATGAGAGATGTGCCCTGGTAGCGCCGTACTGCTATGCAGATCTTCGTGGGTGGCACTTTGTTTGCCCTGTTTCCATAATTTATTCTAGCCTTGGGCCTTTCCATAATACTGGAAATCTGCTGGTGTGCTATAGGCACTGAGTTGGTTTGCAGGATATAAATTTGTACCTTCTAGTATCAGCAATAGGTCACTTTCAAGCACAGCAAGTTTATATATGTTGCAAAAAATACTTCCAGAAATTTCAGATTAGAAAATTGATTTAAGAAGCTCCTTTTTGGGGTTTTTGGGTTTTTTTTGTTTTTTTCACCCAAACAGACTGTATATGCAAGACAAGCTGATTTGTAGCACCATGTTTTGTAATAAATGTAAATGTTTCTGTTACCCACCTCCCAACCCTTGCAGAATTCACGTCTATGTAATATTTAGATCAGGCCTTAAATCTGTTACATTGTCTGTTTCACAGCACTCTGTGTTTCCTGATAAAAATTACTATGAATTGTGTCACTAAATTTATTCTAGACATCAAAGTAAGTATCTGTCTCCCATCCCAGTGTCAGAGCAATGGCCGGAGCTGATGTGCACATTACACTAAGCAATATTTTAATAATTTTTTTAGTTATAATGCTTCTAATCTGCAAACATTAACACATCATACCAATAAGCCAAGTACTGTAATTATACAATTTATTATCTTCCCTTTTACTGACAGAGAAAGAATGGTGGTAACAGAAAAATAAGTGAAGTCTATAGACTGTTACAATCAGAGTAGGGAGTACAGCTCGGAGTGTGTGGCATTTACCTGACTAGCAGGTATAATCTCTTAACTTCTGTCTGACTATATAGTCTTGATAGTCTTGACACTATATTATATAGCCTTTTGATACTGTGTTGTATAGTCTTAAAACCTGTTTACATTTCCATGAAGTTGATCAAGTTTTTCAAATAGTTACAAGTGTTTAAAATGAAAGCATTTGGTAATCATTGCCCCTGTAAAGGTTTATGGCTAAAGAAACTGATGTCCTTCCTCAACTTAACACAGCCTAGGCAGATTTTTGAGCATTAATTAATATTACTTATTCTGTATGGTTGTCCAGAAGATTTATCACTATCAGAATTGAATGATTATATTTTTGTGAGCATTCAAGACAGATTAATATAATTTTAAGGAGTTAAAAATTATTTCTATTGTGGCATTGATATTTTGCATAGTAATTTTATTTATTTGTTTGTTTATTTTATTTATATCACTGTTTATTTGACAAGTGACCTTCCTAGACTTAAAATTCTTCCTTTGTCATATGGCTTCCATGAATCATACGTTTGTGTCATGGGTTTAACTGATTTTTTTTCTCCTATGGACAACCAGCTTAAAAGCTTCCTTCCATATTTATTAAATTTTCAGCACAGAAATTAATGGAACTTGTAGCTGAACTCCACAGTTAATGCATACATATAAGTTTAAAAAATGAATGTTGGAATTGTCATTCTAACACCCTTGCCTAAAAGGCATTTTCTTTACTTCATAGTGTTTTGTTTAGAAAATTGTGATTAGTCTCTTTCTAGTTACAGCTCCACAAAGTTTAAAAAATCTTTCAAGATAAAAAATGGGAAGTTATTTTTCTTGATTAACATTCAGTGTCAGAAAGACCTGGGATCTAGGGTGTGAAGATAGCTTTTTTTTTTTTTTTTTTCTGTCACCAGACTGGCTTGTGGTACTTCACATCTGGTATCTGGTTTTGGGTTTCAGATGGGCTCACAAAATTTTTGCCATGCTTGAATCAGGGCTGTTTGCAGCTGCCAGTATCTCATCCAAAACATGCAAATTCCTGGTAATTTGGAACGTTTGTCCTAAATTCCAGTTTAAGGGCTAAAACAGAGGGCTAATCAGAAAAAGGCAGGGTTGATAGATATAGAATTGGGAATGTAAAGTGTCAAAAACCTTGGTACTCAGCCAAAGTACAGTATTTGTTGTATGCATAATAGTGATCCAAGACTCTGCAAGTGTTGGAGCTGCTGTAAGGAACTCAAGCAATAAAGACTCCTTATTTCTGTATTCTCTGAATGAATAACAGCAGATAAAATGGTTTGGAGGCACACACGGTATGCAGTTGACCATCAGCCATAAAACAAAGTAAACTAATAAGTTAACCTGCTTTTGCCATGATAATTCAGTTAAAAAAACAAACAAACAAACAACAAAAAAACCACCAAAAAAACCCCCACAAAACCCCATTAGGTTCTATTTGCACAGAGACAGATTTAACAGTCTTGCACTGTATTATTATATTGATCTTAATTAATATTTCCAGTATTTATTACTGCAGCAAAATCTCTGTTTAGTAACTGTAGAAATTAGACTGAAAAGATAGTATGAATGGTAGGAAAATGCTTTAAAATAAAGAAAAATCTAAGAGAGATATTCAGGCAATTATCCCTGTGAAGAATGTGAAGGTCAAAAGTTAAAGGGAAATTATGTGGTATATATATAAAAGAAATAATGTGAATAGTCAGTGTCTGATTTTCCAATATTAAGCAAAAATAGAAGAATAAATGAACCACCATGAGTTAATCGACAGGTTCCTTAAATTAGAACAACTTTTTAAAATTTTTGAATGAATAAGCCATCAGAGGCAGAAATTAGTAATTCCCAGAACTGACTGAAGTCAATACAAGAGAATTCAGAGATCCCGACTACAGGTTGTCCACTCCAAGACTCTCTAAGACAGTGTTCAGATTCAAGATGCCTAGTTCTAACTCAAGTCTCCTAGAAATCAGCTGCATTTTTTGTTTCTTGTGCCAATACTCACCACTTCAAGGAAGAAAAAATTACTTTTAAGAGGAGTTTGCCTATATGCTCTGTTGTTTCCTGGATATTAGTAGAATCACAAATGTCACCACTAGTGTAAAAGTCCTAATTTTCAAGGCAATAAATATATATCTTGGACTACCTGAGCTTCTAACATGGGAAAATACCTGCAGATAAAAGGTTGTGGACGTGACAGCAATTCTAATGTCTATTATTTACATAGCAGATCTACTCAGAAATACAGTTTGTTTACAAAGCAGAAATTAACTCAGCTGTGAATTTGTCTTTTTGACTGAAACCAGAAGCAAAAAGACACTGTTGAAATGGTAGTAAGATTATTCTAAGCCTGTATAAACTCACAATAAATTCTTCCTGTTCTGAGCCAGAAGTTTTGAGATCATATGCCAAAGTATGATTGCTGATTTTGGCCTGAAGGGGACAGCTGAGGGAAATTAGTGAAATGGCCTGATGTGAATGTCCGTGTTTTAGGTCATGGGTTTAAATACTGAAGGCACAGCCTCCTACTAGTAGGAACCACTGGGAAGATGTTCAAACAAATCATGTCACTCTAAAGTGCGTGTCATGTCTTTAAATAATCGTTTTTTAAGAATGCCAGCTGCATTGTCCCAGAAATGGAAGGGAAATGTATCATAACAGAATTTGTACCCAATAGACCTGCTTTGTAAATATAACACAGGCCATGTGTCTGTAAAAAACTGTGGTAGGATTATGGCACACCAGGGCAGTACAGCTAATGATAAAAGCTTATTAGTCATCAGCAGCACCTCGTAAACTAGGAGCCATGGAAGGTATATCACTATGTAACGGAGGGTTAGAAACACTTGCTCTGGACAATGAGTGGGGAATAAACTGCTAAAACTCCCTTCAATTTTGGACTGTGAAGAGGTTGTTATACATAGTGGTGGTAGAGGACCTTATTAAAATTACAAATTACAGAAAAGGTGAGGATACGGATGGCTCAATTATCTTCCGTTACTGCTTCCATAACAAGGAAGGGCACAGCAGCAACTCTACTTTCCTGCAGGAATTGTCTTCAGTCAGTGGTGGTGCAAGTAGGTACCTCCAAGCTGACGTAGGGCAAAGCACTCCCGTATCCCCCACCCTCACCAGCTGGGCAGAGCAACTGTATGTCAGTAGACAAAAGAGAGTTTTAGAGAAACTAGCATGTTATAATACCATTAAGAAAAGCTCAAGTTCAAAACAAGAATTATGAAGCAATGCAATTAAGATGACTTAGGTGAAGTCCAGAAGCTACTATTTCATGTACCTTGTAAAATATCTCTCTAATAGAAAATATATAAGCTACTGTTGGCCACTTTTCTCTCTCTTAGCCACTGAAAAATTGTCAGCCTTTATTATACGTTGGCAGAGATGGTGTCCCCTTGGAGGCCTTTGTAGTTTTACGATTAGGCAGTCTCCTAGAACAAAAAGAAGGTTTGTTTTCGATAGTTGAAAAGGAATGTGGGGTTGAATTCAGATATCCAGCTTCTTGAGCAAGTATAATAAAACCCAGGCTCCTCCATTACAACTGACAATGGCAACTTCATCACTGCTGATCATACACTGGAAGAACAGTGCAAACAAATTTATTGTCTATACTACCCTATAGTTGTAGATACTTGGCTTTAATATCATAAACAACATGATGAACACTTCAGTTGGACACTACATAGCATAGCAAAGAGAATTAGATAGCATGAGAGGTCTTTACTGCTAACTGGATCAGCTCCGAAGCTATTAGCAGTATCAGTAGTAGCTGCGGCAGTTGGGTTAAGTCAGTCCACTAATTACTCCTCTTTTGAGGAGTAAGATTACATAATACAGGATTCTGGTTCCAGTAACTTGAAGAGGAATTTCTCTGTTCAAATCAATATTGGCATAATTTGATTCCAGTACTTTCCACATCCTCAAGTTTCCAATATAGCAGGCCTTCTAGTGCAAAGGAAACTATACTTTAGTCCTCCAGAACAAGCTTTTGTGCTACTTATGTAATAAAGAAAAGGAAGAAGGGAAAAGATGATGTATTCTTCTTCCTCAGTGTTTATAGTTGCTGCTAATCACCGTAGTATCACAGGTGAGACTTAACATGTCTGCTTTTGCTAAATACTTTTCTTTTTATTTATATTGCAGAATTGCCTCAGAAGATGATGTTAGCAAAAATTAAGAAAGGTAATTATGTTTATATAGTAATCCAAGAATCATACAAGGATAAAGGGTTTAGCTTCTTTTGATAAATTCTTTATGTATTATTCCAAGCTGTCTCCTAACAAAAACAGTAATGTCAGACTAAAGTGAGTTTTTGCTTTGCTGTATTCACCTAAGACTTTAAGGCCAGTTGTAGTTACTGAAGATAGTAGCTGCAATCTCTTCTCCTCAAAATAAACACATCATGACACTTTTTTTCCTCTTTCTTCAATAAACAGAAAAGAAGGACTTTGCAGAGATTTAAGTATTTTATAATTAGCCATTATGTGAAACTCTTACTGTGTGTTTTGAGAATAATCTAAAACACTTCCTCCACTGTTAGCAAAAATAGAAAAAAATCATTCTGAAACAGAACTTTTAAAGCATTGAAGCGTTGCATGTGTAGGAGCTAACAGCGGTTAGGGCAGATCCCTAATTAGTCATTAAGCAAGGGAGCGAGTTTCCCACTCCTGAAGGGGCAGACTGTTTACAGAAATTTAAATACTTGATACACAGACTTCCTAAATAGCCAAGGCTTAAGCTCTGAAAATCCCTCCTCTGAAACACTGTTGGTCTATTGAGGTAACTCATGTTAGACACTTCAAACAGAGCTTGTGAAGACTTACTCCACTCTTCTCCTTTCCACATTAGAGACTTACTTGGATTTGGCTCAGTGCTGGTAGACAGAGTACCCTGAATAGTAAATTTCTTCACAAATCAGCTCCTCTTTCTCTATTTACTGTGCTTCCCTGATCCCTCTTTCCACTTGCTTCCTCTTGAATTGGCGTGCATTGGGCTCCTCACAGAAATACCGATATTTGCACATACATTTTGAAATAGACTGATTAAATCAATTATCTTTGCAGAATGGTATTCTGGAATTTTTTCATACAGAGGTGATGGATTTCTTTTCCTGTTTTCTGCTGTATTATCTGTTCTTAATGCATAACAAAAAATATTGTGATTCTATGCTATGGAAGCTACTAACGTTGATTTTCCACAGATGTTGCAGATGTTTGTCATTACTTCCTTTAAGGTCTGACTCTAGTTCCCTGCTTTTAATGACAAAACAGACTGTATCCTGTTAAATTCAGCTCATGGCTATCATCAACATCATGACATGTTGACTATTGTTTCCAGTAATGTAGTCTTGAATATTGAGTCTCTGGAGAAAGACAGGGCGTTTAGAAGTATAGTACTAGTTTGTATAGTTAGTATTATATTGCCTTCATGACCTCTCTCCTCAAAAGTGGCTATAAAAGTTAGCTGTGAGCTTAACTCATTTGGACTTAATTTCCTTTTTCTGCAAGAACCTTTTTAGTGTAAGGATTTTCTAAATGGAGAGCAGCTGCTTTTAAGAATTGGTCATAATCCTGCAGTCTACTTTACATACTTTATTATTACCTACCTTTCTTTCTCAGTTAATATTGATCTAATCATATTTTTCTGTTATTTCACAATATACAATGTTTCAAACAATTGCTTCTGTAGCTCCTACTGTCTGTATGCTCCTAAATGATGGTATATGGAATAGATACCACTCTGGTAGGTTCTTGCCTGTTACTTGTCTACATAACTGTCTTATTTCCATTCTCAGCTAAAAGCATATTGTATGCCTTGCCCATACCTTTCTTATTGGTCTACCTGAACTTAGTTTTGTAAGTCTGTGAACGTCAATAGGTGCTGCATTTGAATAGTAAGAAACATTAAATATCTGAAATGGAGAATACATATACTTACTGGCAAAGAAAGCAATTTGAAGTGAAAAAGCAAAGATATCCAGGAGTGCTTAAAACAGTTGATTTTGTTACCTTATGCAAGAACATTTTAATGGTTTAATTTTACATGTGATCTCTGAAAATGACATTTTGCTGTTCACGCTGTTTAGCTTTATAGCACTTGAAACACAAGATATTGACAATTATTTATTGGAAAAACACTAATTATGAGCTATTATAATGTTTTATATAAATATATGATGTGAATCAATTGTATTTAATAATATTCTTGTCTAGCAATGATTTTTAATAGATACATGACTGAAATAGATGTTATAGGACTGACTTATTTAAAACTGCATAATCTACTCCAAAAATGTTAAGGACTTCAAAGTAATTGCTCTTCAGCAATTTTTATTAAAATGGCAGCCCTCTGCACAATTTTAGTCTAAATATTCTATCATTTCACAGGTAAGGGAGGTCTTTATATATCACATCTCATATGATTCTTATATGATGGCTAAATAAGATTTATCTCCAAGTCAGTTCAGTCAAGAATCATATTTTAAAGTGTCTACTAGCAAGAATTTGAGAACATCTCCACATATATGTCATTATTGTTTCCATTATTTTTTTAAGAATATTATTTTGAGAAAAAAAATAATATGGTAGGCAATTGACATTTGAGGATTATTGTATGGCTATGTGTTTTTCTTCTCTGCCAGATGCCTTGATATTCAGTCAAATAACACAGTATTAATTTGGTAACTTTTTCTTGGTTGATACCGTAGTTACTGATTGCAAACTAGGACCTGGGACTGAAAAATGTTAGAGTAGCTACTCTGTCTCCCAGTTTACAGTAGATACTCTGTGTACTTTTGTAACATTAGACTGTCCCAGATGAAACACGTTGTTAGATTTTTTTTTCTTTTTTAAAACTATTTCCTTTTCCTTCTATTTTAACACTGCTTTCTGTATGATTCACACTAACATTGACTACATAAATGATAAGAATGTGTACTGAGATTCAAATGATCCAACTGAGATTCAAGCCTTGTTTTAATTCAGAGTAAAAACCAATTTTCACATCAGAGCTTCAATGTAGGAGGACACTTAAAGGAATCATTAGACCTCATTTTCCAAGATGTAATTTACTGGCTACCTGAAGAGAGGGGGAGGAAAAAAAAAAAAAAAAGTCTCTGTAATGCTCCAGCATAATATTGCAGTGTTATTTATAGAACAAAAAAAGTACAATAAAGCAGCAGGCTTTTTTAAGTTGGTCTTTAGTCCAAAGTTACAGATTTATTTTATAAACTTCCTCTAGTTTTATTCTGTCTTGGAATGTGTGTTGATTTTTTTTTTCTTCCCCCACCCTGTTCATCATTTACCATTGTTCACAGAAAAGCCTAATTTCTGCTTTCATGAGAAAGACCCTGGAATCTGCCGAGGCTATTTTTCCAGATATTTCTATAACAAAGAGACGAAGATATGTGAAATATTCAAGTACGGTGGGTGCCTAGGAAACCAGAACAACTTCAAGAATTTGGAAGAATGCCAGACTACCTGCCAAGACAACTGTAAGTTGTTGTCCTCATTATTCTTGTATAAACAACGTTCTGTTTTGAAGGTGTATTGCATGGAAAAAAGAGCAACTCAGGGTACATTGAGATGGCAATAATTTATCTCTGAAATTAACATTAGTTACATATATTTTAAAATAAAAATGAAAAATATAAACTAAGAAAAGCTGGCAAGTAATATTAATTTTAATAAATATTATAGAACTCCTACTTTTTTACTTTTCTTGTGACAGTTAATTGCCTGAATACATGTTAATTCTACAACCCCCTGCAAAATATGTATTAAAACTTTCTGTGTAAGTAAAAACACTGTATTAATTTTCAGAAATCTGCATACTATTTAATATATCTAAGTTGAAACAAATAGTATGTCATGCATAATTTGAAACAGAATGTTAGAAGTAGTACAGACAGATTGAGTAATTAAGGTAACATTAATTTCAACTGAAGAGGGGGTTTGGTCCCCTCAGTACTTGAGGGGTCCCCCTCCCCTTTGGTACTAAACAGTACTTGGATGCGTACTGTTTCTTGGCTGTACTTTGACATTAGAACATCATGTTTTCCATTAGCATTGCCATTAGGGAAAAAATGTAATAAACACACTTTCTAGGACAGAAGTTTGGGGAAATTAGTTTTGAAATACATTGTAAAAGTATTGGTACCTACATTGAAGAATCATAAAATGTTGTGAGTTGGAAGGGACCCACAAGGGTCATCGAGTCCAACTCTTGCCCTAGCATAGGACAATCCCAAGAAGGCAGAGACTTTACAGTAATAGAAATTATAGTGGCAGAGAATGAAGAAATGCACCTATTCTGGTTACAGCCACATAGGTCATTTTTATAATCTAAAATCTTCCAGCTGCTTGGCTTTATAATATCATCAAATGTTAATATATATATATTTTTAACCTGTATATCTGAATATACTCTTTTCAGTCAAGTCTTATAATGAAAAGAGATGCCAATATAGGAATTTCTGGGTTTACCATTTCCCTATTATGTGTTGCTAGGTTCCCACCAAAGAACCACAGGAAACCTGTCCCTCACTTCTGAAAAATTTGGCTGTGCAGTTTAACCTACAAAACAGCCATTTAGACTGACTATAGATCATTCATCCACTTTTTATCCTACTAGTTCCTATGAATTGTTTTATATCAGAATATAATAACCTTCATCACTCCTCTCCCCTTCACAAATTACTTCATTTTATTCATACAACGAATACATTTTCTCACCCAGAGCTTCCAGACCCTTTTGTCTTGCTTGCTTGCTTGTCTCTAGTGGGCCTTTTTCCAGGAGCATTTCATAATCTGACATTTTGGCAAGGGAAACTTGAGCTTAGTCACATTTAGAAAAAGAAAGACCCACTACATTATTTTTTTATTATTATTTTTTTTATTTTTTTTTAATATATACACATATAGAGCCATGTGCTTTTCCACTACCTTTGCTGAAGCATTTTTTCCTGGGCTCTGATTCCCCTTTTACCTTCTAAACTAAAAGTTGCAGAATGTTTTGGGGTTTTTTTCCTGACTTTAATCTGAAATAACCCCTCCAGGTAAATTTGTTTGAATACCAAAGAAGAAAGAGAGGATTAGAGGCTATTGCCATGGTTTAAATATATCGAAATTTTTACCTTAGTGATATTGAATCACTGATACCAATTGTCTTTTGTGTTTTCTCCTCATTATTTTTCTTTTGTTTTTCTTTCAGCAAATTTCTTGCCATTTGTTCCAGCTGAAGATCATCCTAACAATGGGAACAGTAGTTCCCCAGAAGAAGACCCTGGTCAATTTCCTGGGATTTTTGGTAACAATTTGCTTTTGCTGTTTATAGTTATCCTTTTTTTAATGCAGACACATCTTGACTTGTCCAATCATTTTCCTGTTTATTTGAAGGTATTTATGTTAGTTGAAATATGTAAGCACAGTGAATTTAGTAACATTAAAACTAGCTTCATAGTCATTTTATTGTCAATAATATTTATTTATAAATATTTATTTATTTATAATATTTATTTTATTTATTTATAAAGCTTACTGTTGCAAAGGTTAGAATGTCTGATAGTAATACAAAAATAATATTACCAAACCATGTTTGATTTAAATCTTACATCAGTAAAATTAAAGAAGAAAAATGAATCCATCCCAAAGTTGCCTCAGGACATTGGTTTCCTATGTTTTTGGGACTTAAAGAAATGCTACCTTTTTAGGGATATAATATTGACATGGAGCAAGGCAAATGGGTATCAGTTATAGCTTATTTTTGTAGCTCTGCTATGGCTAGATAACCTGTCACTTACTGTTTCCCCTTTTTTTCATTTTAGTCAATCTGTTGCCAACTGCTCCAAATGAGAAGTCTAACACTCTGAACAGTAGTTCCCCAAAGGAGAAGCGTAACCAGTTTCCCATTTTTTTTGGTAAGAATTCACTTTTCCAGTTCTTAGCTCTCCGTCTTTTACATGTGTGCTGGCTTGCTTTTCCGTTTCCACCCGTTTTCCAACATATCTGAGAATACAGAACAGGCTTCCATCTATGTAAAATGTTTTGATAAGCAGAGAAAATCAAAGCAAGGAAATATATTGCTACTCACAGATCTTCTATAAATATCAGAAAGTGGAAGACTGACCTTGTCTTGTGCTCTTCTGAAAGTGTGTGCTTCCCAAAGGTCTGATAAATACAGAAATCTAAAGACCAAAAGCAGTGATGCAAAGTTCTTTTATTCAAAATTAGTTTTTTTGTGGGAATCTAATTGACAGCTGATTTAAAGCTCCTTTTACCCGTTAAAAAAAGACCATATTTGAATTTTGGAATATGGTATAATGTATTTATCATAATACCTTTTTATTTTCACTACAGCCATATTAAACTCAGTTCTTACTTTAAGTATAATCAAACTGAGTGTGAATTAATTTTGTGTCTGCTTCAATGTATTTTTGTACTATATATTATAATGCATATGAGAATCTGGACATTTACTGTAAAGGGATAGGTTTTAACAGTTTCTGCAGCTGGACACTGTCCACTCTAGATTGCTGATACTTGCTCACACTGTACAGCGTGACTGAATTTGAAGCATGTCATTTTTATGATCCACAGTTATGCAAGAAGAAACAAGAAACAGTTGGAAAAAGCCTGGGCATTCTTACCAAGTATTTATGTTGGTTTTTCTGCACTTACTTATTTGTGCTTTTGGGGATTGAGTGATGGCTTACAAATTTGTTAAGGTTTTTGTGTTTGATATGGTCTGTAAGATAATGGGCATGTAGGTTAACATTCCTCTGCTCTTTGCTTAGAATGATATGTCTAATAAAGCTTGAATGTGTGTTTTACTCTATTTTTGCCTGCACTGGGATCCACATGCATGGTTGGGTTGAGGTAAGTTTCTGTGATAGTTGAATTGCTTGTTTTTCACAAACAAAGCATCAATGCACTCTGTTATTAAAATGACTGAATATAAAACAGTAAATCTTCTGACAACTTTTTTCACTGAAAAATATTGGAATGATTTAAGGTCTGAGGGACATAAGAGAGTACATGTTCCCTGAAGGTTTTTACTTATGAATCCCCAAATCCCCAAAATAACCAATCTATACAAGCAAAGGGGCACGATTCAATGTGTTTTCTCAGGAAACTGAAGGGTTCTTGGTTGTGTCAGCAATAGTGAATTTTCTGGTAGAACAGATTTTGAGAGGGAGAGGTTAGGGTAAGAGAAAGAGAAGACTCAAAAGGTGGAGGAAGAAAGAGTAGTGGAACAGGGGTGGGTGGAGTCAGTGATGCTGGATGGATCAGGTAAGGAATGTGACCTTGGAAGGACCAGTGTATTTCAGTGGAAAGTATGAAGACCCCACAGGTGCTTTCCTACTCTATAGCCTTTGTCTGTCCTGCACTAGTCTGCTCTGTACAGCCACCTGCTGCCATTCTATTTGTCATCCTGTACCTTTCAGACTGCTGGGATGGGCTAAAATCTTGTGCTTTGTGCAATCCCACTACAGGGGAAGGAAAGGGTATGGCCAAAACTGACAGTTGATTTCTCTGCAGAGATGTGGAGAGCATAGCTTCCATTCCTAAATTCCTGCTACTACTAAAGGCAGAGGTGTAAACTGAAATTGCAAGGTAGAGTCATCTCACACGAACATGCATTGTGATTCCCCATCGCCCTCAGTGAGGGACAAGAATCTGGCTATGCACATATGAAGTCAGGATGGACTGTTTGGGATGGAGTGGCTAATGCCTATCTTCTCCAGCACAGGCAAAGCAGCTGATCTGGCACTGCAACATCTATTTTGAATGTATTTTGGCCTGGATATGTATCATCTTTTTTTTTTTAAATACATGACCCTTAAAAAAAAAATTTGCAAGGACTTGTCTCTTACAGAGTACCTTACCTCATAATTTAAATGCTATTTCATCTTGATTTCAAGAAAAAAATATATATTTAAAAATTGTTAGGTAGCAGTGAAGGGTAAGATATAATAGTATTTTTATAGGTAAGAACAATAGTCTTTATCTACTGCTTATTCCATACAATTAGCTTACCTATTTTTTCAGAAACATACTATTGGTACTATGTATAACTCTGTAATGATTTCAAATTCATAGATTTCCAAAAAAGTTCTTGATCTTCAGAAAATTACTCTTCTATGGCCAAACAAAACAAACTCTCTTTTTCTGCATATAAACATCTAGTGCTGTCTCTCAGCAGTGAACTTTCTGCAGAGAATGAAGATTGTTCTGGTCTTACTCTGCTGCAAGATTTAAAATATCTTTTATTCTGGGAAAGTTAAGAGAAAGTGAATCCAGGAATCAAACCTTTCATTTTTAGATTTATATGAAGTGATCTATGGTAGGAAATTACTAGTGCTATACTCTACATTTGGTTTGGGATGGGGAGATGCAGGATCAAAAACCAATTTTCGACTCGGCAAATATGGAATGGCACACAGAGGCAGTTCCTGTTATTACTTCTCAAAGTCAGGGCCATATCTTTTGCTGATATAAATTGACACAGTTCTATACGCTATAATGGATCTGCGACAATTTATACTTATAGAGTACTGTCAAGTGCAGATGACTCATTTTTGTAATAGCTTGTCTATGTGAAGATTCTTTTATTTTCTCTTTCCTGCAACCAGAAATGAGATACTGAAGTGTGCACGTATCAAAAGTGTGCAGTTTCATGGATGTCACATACCTGTGCTTAGCAAAAGAGAATGCAGTAAGGATTGTTTCTTATCCAGCTCACCAAGATCACTTTAAACTTCTCTTGTACTGGGATCAATTAGCAGTTCTTTGTCACACAACCCCAGCTAAGCCTGAGTGATAATGATGGGTTGGGATTATTTTTGGTGAATATGAGTCTATACCTGAATATGCATGTTTCAGAGATTCTGAAGTATGATCATGTCATCTGTTCACATCACAGAGGCAATTGTCTAGGATTCAAGAAAAGGCTGTGTTATAAGAATTAAATCTTAAACCATATTTATTTAAAGATTGTTAGGTAGCAGTGAAGGATAAGATATAATAGTATTTTTATAGGTAAGAACAATAGTCTTTATCTACTGCTTATTTCATATAATTAGCTTACCTATTTTTTCAGAAACAAGTTATCAAATATTGCAGTTTGGGGTATTATTCTCTCACCAAAAAAAACAAAATCAATACAAACATATGCATTGTCAAGAAAAAGAAGTAACAAAGATCTACACTGTATTTTGCTGTTCTGAAGCCTGAAATTCATTTGAGAAGCTCCTGCAGAGCTAGTGGTGGGAGTTACAGTTCTCAAGCTCCATTTGAGATAGGTTCCAAAAGTTTTTGATGGAATTGGCCTGTTTCTGAGGAATAGAACTTTGTGTTTCATTGTATCAGCATTTTCCAGAAGAAAACTTTTCACCTGCAAATGTTTGACTGACTCAGCTTGGAAGCTTTCATTTGTCCTTTGCCTGTTTAAACCAGTTATTTTGGATAAACAGAATAGCATGAACACAATGGTGAAGCCAGAGTCTTACGGTCTGTTGCTGACAATGTAAATAACTGGTTGATTTCTGTAGAAATCGCATCAAAGGTCATAGGATGGGACATGTAGTTTCATGTATAAAAAAAGTTAGAAAGCTAAATTGCTAAAATTTAATCTAAACTGAGAAAAAAAGTAGAGTTGAAAACAGTATGGCTCTCTCAAGTAGTCTCTAAAGTTGGCATCTGTAATTCATAGACCTGTAATGGCTAGATTAGCGGAAAATAATTCTTATAGCGGGCCATGTACTGCTATTTTTTTTACTGTTTTCAGTGCGTACACCTTCCTTTCAGTGGGAAGTTTTGTGGGTTGTGGGATTTGTTTTATTCTTTTTTTCTTCACAGAAAAAGTGGGAGATAAAACATTTCCACATCTCAGAAAAATGAGGTTGTAAAACATTTGAGAGAGAAACTCAAGAACAGGCATGGTATCTAAATTCACTGTAACATCAGATACATAAGTGTAGTGTTAGAAGCTGGGGCTGAACAGAGAACACTTGCCTGGATTTGATGCCAATAGAGATGTTGGGCTGGCATGACAGTACATATTTTATGTTTAGAGTAACTTAACATTAATCTTTTTGTGATCACTATATTAAAAAAAAAAAGAAAAAAAAACCAAACCAGGACACCCATTCATAATTTTTATGATCTTCAGCAGATGGGAAATTATAATAAGTAATTTCATTTTTAATACAATCTTTAGTAAAAAAAAAAAAATGGCTGCTGTATGGCAAAATTAAGAGATTTTCTTCATGGGCTGGTTGCTTCCTGTGAGTGTAAAGATATGCAGATATTTTGAAGATGAACAGGAATAATTTTTGTTATGTGGGGCATTTATCTAGCAATGATATAGACAAAGAACAACATAAGTTTTAGAAAGAGTTCAAGAGGGATTCTGAATAGCATGTTGATGCTGCTCTGCCAGTTGCATTATACATACGTAGTTAGTCCTTGTTCACCAGTAACCACATCACTGGCTCCATGGCTCCCCTAAAGCTTCCAGACATTGTGAGAACTCCTTCACAGGGGGACTCGAGTCTTTCTGGAAAAGTCTACATACTAGTTAAGTACTTTAGATTACAAAGTATGTCTTTAAATTCTGTTATGTAATTAATAAAACTATGCTGCTTAGCCCTTTCATCCCTGGCAAGGCTTTCTGCTTTGTTCTTTCCAGGTTCAGAAATTACCATGTTAAAATAAGTAAGCATTTTTTTTAATGTTGTGGAACATGTGCTTTGAAAGTTAACATCCTCTCCAGCTAGAGAGAATGGAGATTAGTTCTAGGCCCAAGAGTTCTCGGCCAGAACAGTAACAAAAGTATTGCATTAGTTAGTTTAACTACCATCTTTGTTATAAATAAAATGGTGGATTTAATATAAATTGTATCACATTGTGGGCTCTTACTCCGGATCCAGAGCGAACCTAACTCTTACAATAATGTCACAGTTATAAAAAGAAATTAAGTAGTTCTCATTTTATAGCCTGAAACTAACTTAATCTATTTTGAAAAAACAACTCATGATTCAGTTTTTGCATTTCAGGATTCTCTTTGAATAGTATGATGTTGCTAACACAGCCTCAAATACATTATTAATTTCATTTTGCTGTCTTAGCTTTCCATAAATCACCATTCCATTTCTTTCCCAGCAATTTTTTGCACTTTTTCACCATGTCAGTTCAGCTATTATACCTGACAGACGAACCTTTTTCAGCAGGTGTAATATGTGTAAGACAAGTAAGATGTAGCATATTCTTTTTTGGATATTTTCTTGTCAGTCTTTTGAATTGCCCAAGTTGATTCATAACTTCTTGCTTTCAGCAACTCATCTGCTTCCCACTTTTGTGACAACAAGATGTCTTCAGGTCTGTTGTAACTCCAGTTATTCCCTAAAGTTTTTACTTGGTTTTTCCTCTGAACCACTTCTACCTGGCTTTGTAACTTCAAGAATGCCATCTGACTAGCTTCAGGTCTCCATTTATGCATTCACATCTCTGCTATCTTGATTCCACTACTTCTTGAAGGAAAATGGCTCTCCTTTAGGTCTCTCATAATTGAAGATATAACGGCTCCCATCCAGTTACGTGCATCCTGCACAGCAGGTGTGTCAGTTTTAATTTTGTAATGAGTCACTCCAGGGTGATAGATGATGGAGTTTCTACAGGTTTCAGAATTCTGGCATGGATTTGCTTCTTGAACTTGTTCCAGTGCCCATGTACTTTGGATACCTCAAGGTCATCCTCCAGTGTTTCAGTCCTCATACTCTCACTTGCAACGACACTGAAGAAACAAGCCATCAGCCAACTCCTTGGAATGGTAAAAACAGAAACACTAAAGCACCAGCGTCTCAGTCACTTTGTGCACTTACTCTTCATATTCAATCCTTTGTTATTCTGCAAGTTACAAGCTATTTCCTGATAATTCCTCAGTGTTTTCCAGTGGACCAACTTCAATTACTTAGGTCAAGCTTTTTGTATTCATACAACAAACCCAATATTAAGGTATTGAATCTTACCTTGTAAATTCTGAGTACTTTTACCTTCTATTTGATTTCAGAATGTCTAGCAGTAATTAGGAAAATTCACTTCATTAATTATAATAAATATTAACAGAATCACAGAATTGTAGGGGTTGGAAGGGACCCTCAGGAGATCATCTAGTCCAACCCTCCCTGCCAAAGCAGATTCCCTACAGCAGGTTGCACAGGAAAGCATCCAGGCGGGTTTTGAACATCTCCAGAGATGGAGATTCCACAACCTCTCTGGGCAGTCTATTCCAGTGCTCCGACACCCTTACAGTAAAGAAGTTTTTCCTTGTTTGTTACCATATTTTAAAGCTCTCCCAAGTTTAATTTATTTCACTTTCTACAAATACTTCAATTGAAACTTCTCTAATTGCATTTGAATACTATCTCATATCACACAAATGGCAATTTTATCACTAAATACATAGGAAACAAACCTTACTTTCTGGTAAGCTTTTGCTGGCTTTTGGAATTCAAAGAAAGAATAACATTTGCTGTGGTATTTTTTGTAGTCATAAAGAGACAGATGCTTATGTAAAGTATCTTGGATTTTCAGGAGGGCAGAATTAAATTTGCGAGTAAATTATATATAAATTTCAAAGTTCTGTGAGCTTTAAATCTCATCTATAATATCAATAGAAAACTGGTAAACTACAGTGCTATCTCTAACCTTGTTTTTCTTGGTATTTCTAGAACCACCCCCTATCCCTTCTTTGTGCATGACCCCTATGGACAGAGGACTTTGTAGAGCCAAGGAGTTAAGATTTTTCTACAACTATTCAACTGGAAGATGTCACCCATTTCGCTACAGTGGCTGTGGTGGGAATGAAAATAATTTCACCTCCAGGAAGTCATGTTTGAAGATTTGCAAGAAAGGTAGGGGAAGTGATACTGCCACAGAGTATCATGAGAATTAAATATTATGAAGGCTGAAACTTTCTTGCAACTTTTGGTAGTAAGTATTGGCCTGATAAAATGTAATAGCTGAAAGTCTTAGAAAAGAGAAAATGGAAAACAGAAGAGAGACAGAGCTAGAGAGAGAAAGATGGACAGTAAAATGCAGTGTACAAGAACAGAAATAAGACAACTTGGCATTGGTCAGGCATATGAAGACTTTAGGTAAGACAATGTTCTTTTTTTTCTTTTTTTAAGAGTATTTCTTGAAAACAAGACTTGTTTCTTATTTCTGATAATCCATGGATGTGTTAGTCATACAGCATCTAATCTTACTTTCTTCATTTTATGTCTAGGATTCAATAAAAAAAAAGGTGAAAGAAGATTAATAAAAATCAAGAAGAAAAGAAAGAAACAGTCACTAAAGGCTCTGGGCAAGGAAATCATCCCTGAAAGAATGCAACTTTGATTTTTACGGAAGTGTGAAGCAAACTACTATTCACCTGTGAATGAAAGCCTTTAATGTACACCATTTAAATCTATTTACTGTACTGATTATTTTGATTAGATATTATTAAGCTGCTTGTATTTTTATTATGTATTCCTCATTCATGTTAATAAACACTACCTTTCACTTTGATGAAGGCTCTTAAATTGTAGTTTGATTGTATATAATTGTCAGAGATGAAACAGGACAAAACAGATTGTGTGGGTGTATATCTCATAATGATTAAAAAGTAGAGAAGATTCAAATTTACTTTATTACCCCATTATTCTTTTTTTGAAATCTATTTTTGTGCTAAAGAAAGTATAATGCTTGTCAAAGAGTAATCACTTGTCAAGCAAGATTGTTTCAATCATAGATTAAAAGAAAGGCCTAGTGCTGTAAAGAGGAAATAGACACTGGCTTTGTTTTAATCAGATTTATTTTAAGTTATGCAAGCTAGATTTAAGTCCATAAAAATGCACATAATTACACTATTGTAAAATGAATGAGATCAGAATTAGCCCACCAAATACCATGAAGAGAGTGTTAAAGTTGTAAATGTGTGAAGCAATGTGACAGATATTTGCAAAGATTTAAAAATGTACCTGCCGGGATTGTTGTTTTTTATCTGTGTTACTGAACTATACTCCCGGTTAGCAAGTTAATAATTTCCAGAAATACATATTAATTTTTTACAAAATCCAGAAAAAATTTCTTTCCTAGAAATAGAGTTGCTTTAGAGATAACACTATGCTTACCCTCCAGTTGACTTTGAGAGTTTCTTTGGTTGGGTTTTGGTGTGTTTTTTTAAGACTGACATGAAACAGTGGTACAATTCCTGCCCTTCTCCAAGGCGCCTCTCTGATCTTGAGTAAATCTTTTATAATAGAGATTATTTTTTTAAAAGGAAAGAAAAGAAAAAAAATAGTTGTTTTCATGTTAAGGTTTTTAGAAGCACACTGCTGCCTATGAAAGATAGCAGAATATTTTTTAAACTCTTCCCTATCTTCTTTGATATTGTAAATATTTTATTTATTTTTTTTTAATGTATAACGTCTTCTCTTTATGCTTAAAACTACTGAGGATAGTTACACTGCTGTTTGTGAGAGGTGGTGTGGAAATAAGTAGCTGAAATAGATGTGAGGGGCTCACACTACAGCAAGTAGCAAGGACAGCAATGACAGAATAATAAATGATCTGTTGGACTAAGCTGCTTTTGTCCATGCACTATGAATCGCATGTGTGATTTCAGAAAACCTATGTTTTATATGTCTGATGAACTTCGGACTAACTCCACAAAAAAGCTAAGCTTTACTGCTGAAAATGAAAGTATTTATGCGTTCTAAATATCTGAGTGAGGGGATAAGTAAAAGTAATAGATTTTTTATACAGAAATTCTATCCAAATCTCTTTTCTGGTGCCTAAGTGCTTTCATGATTTTTAATCTAGGAACTGTTAAGTCTAATTTGAAAAGTGCTCATGAAACTGAAGTGTACAACAGAAAATATTTATGTAGAGTCTTTTCATATAAAATGTGTGAGAAGAACAGATTTACAATGCAATAACTATGTAAATCAGACAAGTGCAGTTCTGAGAGGAAACCTATAAACTCCATAGACTGCTGAAAACTTGTAATGTCAGTTCTCTACACAGAATTAATTTGGTGTGCAGTTACCTGCCAGTTTCAGTTCCAGTTTGATATCTTCCTGTTCTAGTTCATAATTTTTTGACCTTGCTGTCCTTACTCTGGTCTATACTCCATACACTAGGAGTCAGGTCTGTAGATGCGAGTTGCGCTGCACAGACGTGGGGCAGTAGGTTAAATACTTGGACCAGCTGGAATTTGTCATTGCAGATGAGAGTCCACAGTTTAAACTACTCCCAGGCCTTTCAACTTGTAGCATAGCAACTGCCTTAGCACAGTAGTGTACACGGCCTCCGAAAGCAGGAGTTGCTTCAGGCACAGCGGGTATGGGAGAGGCTGAACACCCTACTAATGCCCCAGTTACCCTGCTCCTATGCTGACACTGGCTTGCGTCTGCTGGCTAGGAATGCAGGTGAGTGCACAGGTGTCTGTGCCTTTTCTTGTATAAATTTTATAATGAAGGCAGTGATAATATCTAATCTTCCATTCTTAGTCATCATAATTTCCCATGGGCTGCTAGTATTAAAACTTGGGTAATTGCTAGATCATGTGGTGTACCTCGGCGTGGAGACAAAGCTGAGGTATGTGCAACTTGGCTTCTCCAGCAGCTCAGTGACTCAGTAAGGATATTCTGAGGCTATGCTTGCAGATTAAAGAAAAAAACAAAACAAAACATGTTGAGTCCTGGGTAACACATTTGCAACAGCCGCCTTCTGTCACAGACAGCCGGTATTCTCCCATATACCATGTTAAAATCCTTTTGAAAGAAACATGGTACTCCCTAGCATGATTCTGAGGTATTTGACCACAATTCACATTAAATTAAAACATCTTTTAGAGCTTTCATGTAAAAGGGAATGGAACTCGCTCTTCAGCAGCAAGAGCGCAGCATCCAGATAAGTCCAGTGTTCATATGAACCTGTGTTATTGGTGGCAGTGTTTCTGTAAGGGGAGTTTTTTCTCAGTATCTAGCCCAAATGAAGGTGGTGGGAGCAGAGCTGTTCCTGAGGCAGTTTCCTCTGCCTAGTTGAGAATGCAGCACTAAACCTGGTGGGGTTTTCAGTTGTGGCGGGACTCTGGTTGGAGCCTAGCAGGGGTTGGGAGGAAGGGGAAGGGTTTTGCTCATGGTGTTTCTTGAAGCAGTCCCACCGAGAACACTAACAAGGATTTGTAAACTCCGTAAGTTTTATGAGATCATTAAACTAGAATTATGAACTTTTAAAAACAGAATATTCTTAATGAGACAATGGCTATAAAAGATAGGAAAGAATAGATGCATTTGTACACAGATTGCCTTGTGATCCCTGTGTGATTTCATGGCAGTATTTCTCCTTCAGGCTCTCTCGTGGTCCAGCGACTTGTCCCTGGCTGCCTGTATTCAACACCTTCAAAATCCACCCTGGAAGTCTAGGAAAAATCATCCTTTCTGTCCCTGCAGAAACCTCACTGTGTGGCTGCTCTCCATTTTTCTAAGTCTCCTGCTTGCTGAGCTCTCCTGGAAACTAACAGGGTCTCCTCACTGAGTGTGTTCAGTTGCTTGCCAGGACTGTGCGGTCTTCTCTTCTTCCAGAACTGCTGTAGCTAGGACGGGACTAACAGGTACTCCCCCATACTCTCCCACCCCCGACTTAGATTATACTGGAGAAACATCTCATGTGTTCAGTTTGTAGTAACAGTGATTGAACAAGTGATCCATTGAGGGATCTCTTATGTCATTGTAGAGACAGTAAAAGACTTTATAGTTACAGCATCTCAATAGTACCTCTATTTCAATTGACTAAGAAAACATTACAAAGTGATTAATCTTTTAGGCTTGTGACTTAAGTTCAATGAGAATGAAGACTGGAATGTCGTAGACTGTGTAAAAACTGATCTGATTATAATCAGAGATTTGATCTGAGAGTGCATGCTCTTCTTGGCATGTGTACTAGGTTTGGCCACCACACCAGTTATCCAGCTGTCTTTCAGTCTTCTTTTTGTATAGCTCTGCAGTGGATTGGATTAGTTTTTTCTGTAAGAAATCCAAAATGCAGAGTGATCTTATCTGATCCTCATCAGCTCTGCAAGAAGTTTCTTTTGTGCTCTTCTTCATTCACTTCTTTTCATTCCTATATCATCAATATCTGCAGAACAACCAAATGCAAGAATAAGATCTATATTTTTCAAAGATAAGTGAAGGGTGAATGTAGAGGAGGGATAATTAAACCACAACACAGGGAAAAGATAGGGAATCAGATGGGAAAATTGTGAAGAGGTCAGAATATGGAATTGTGCTAAGGTGACTGTACATTGCCAGTTAACTAGAGTCCGTTCATCCAGTCATTTCATTCCAGAATCTGCCCCGGTTGCTCTGGAGGAAGTATGCATGGTGCTGTGAAATTTCTCACACTTTGTATGGTGGGAGCCAACAAGTCGAAGCAATTTTACAGAGGTTTGAAGAGTTTCCATGTGTCATCAGATCTGCAGTAACTTGGTATGTGCCCTTAGTCCCTAACAGATGATGAAGCAACATGTCTTTGAGAAATAAATTCTTATTATTCATTCTCTTTTCCTCATATCTTTACTGATATACCCTCTTTTTTCTCTTTCTTACTTTCCATCCCGTGCTTCTCTTTTCTTTCTGGTTCATTTGAGCCTGCATTTCTCCCTGCATCTCTAATCCATCTGCTGTTTCAAAGCTGACAGATCTATTTACAGCTTGAGAAATCTCCCTCTTTCTAGCTTCTACCTTTTAAACATATTTAAGTGGACGTAAGGACTATGTTTCATGACTGGTTGCTTTCTGTGGTGTCTTGAGAAAGAACCAGGCTCAAGTAAAGTGGAATGCACATTTATGGTTATTAAGTGTTTATGCGTGAACTCGTATTTTATTTGTAGGCAATACCTATGAGGAGTTTCCTTGGTTCTGTTTATCCCGTGATCTCTCTGGAACCTGTAGCAATGCTGCCTTGCAAGTCGCTTGTCCAGGAGTTTTTTTCACGTGAGGATTTTGTCAGGTAGGCAGGCTTTGTCCCGGGGAACATGACACAGGGATACGACACTCTCGGTACTCCCGAGTCCTCGACTCCAGGGGGTAGGATCAGGTGCAAAGTGGCTGTTGGGGGTCGGGCCGCAGGCCGGTCACTGCGCGCCAGGGGGCAGCGCCGTTCCGCGCCGCGGGCCCTGCG